GGCTCTTATTTCACTCAAGCTGCCCTCCATTTTAGTTCTCTCCTAGAATAAGAGAGCTCAGAGGGATTTGCAGTTGAACTTCAGATCATTGGGACTACCTGTTAATGGACCAGCACTCCATCAAGTCTGTCTTAAGCCAGTGGTAAGTTGTGGTAGCCAACTTCCCACACTTTATTTTATATCAACCACACCCCTGCCCACATACCTAAGCACTGGGTATATTTAACTCGTATATGAATAAAAATGATGCAGATTGATTATAAACATTTAACAAATAGACTCTATATTTTACTATCATATATGCTACTGTATGTATATATGTATGTATGTAGGTCTTTGGTTATTTGGGTTTTCTCCCGCGTAAAATTGGAAGTGCCTTGGCGACGTTTCGACAAAGTCCCATTCGTCATCTTCAGGCTGGTGTTTTCGGCTTCATGCTCGGGAGAAAACCCAAATAACCAAAGACCTACATACAAACACCCGCGAAAACCTCAGAAAACAAATATGTATGTATAAATAATGTGCAACCACCAGGAGAATTTAAGTAAGAAAAATACTTTATTAAAAACTGCCAAGCTTTCGTTGGGAACTCCCAACATTATCAGGGCTAAAAAGCCAGTTAACAAGGATAATTTAAATAGGTTTGGCTGACATCTGCACCTGGCTCCTATACCGCGTCACCGGCCCCAGCCGGTCAATTTGTGTTCCAGATGTTTCTTTAGTGTTGTGTTCTCTTCTGTCGTTCTTTCGAATCTTCCTACCTGCCCCTTCATTATCATTTTTTGGATTTATTAACACCTTTGTATCCTCCTCCCCTCCAATGGTATTTACTCCCATTATATCCTTCCTTCTGCTACAGGTCTCAGGGGCTTTAGATTCTCTTTTAGTGTTGGTCTTCATTCCATTAGGGCTCCAAGTGCTTTTCACCCCTTTTAATTGTGGGTCGATGTTTTCTCCCTGTTCTGTATTCCCCTCCCCCTTAACCATATGGGTAGCGCTTGTCCGAGCATTGTGCATTTTAGTGCTTATGTTTCCATCCCCCACCATGGCGCTCTCTATATTAACTGTTTTCCGTTGTTTTACCCATTGATGGTTTTTATCCCTGTCCAGGGCGGGCCCTTCATACTCCTCCTGGGAGGGATCTAACTGTGAATAGGAGCGCTCTTCATCCGTGGTTTTTCGCCCATTCATGAGATGGGGGGAGGAGTATTTCTCCCCCCTTTGCTGAGTGAGCGAGTCGTCATTCCACACCTTCCCTCCCTCCTCCATATCAGGCACCCCTCTTCACTACCGTAAAATGTATCAAGTCCTGGAATCTCATCATTAGATCTTCCAGATTCCCCGCTGTCATCGCCGTTGTCTCTCCTCCACCTAAGAGATGGGGGTCTATCGGAATACTGTTGGGGAATACACGAGTCGCCTATCCAGTGGATTTTCCCCTTTTTCTTTTCCAGAGGGAGATCCACCGTTGGTATGCGTCTACGTGTATCTAGCGGCAGAAGATTCCTCAGCTGTTCGTCGGGATAAGATTGTTGTTGATTGGATGCCGAGGAGGCATTTGCAAGGCGTTGGGGGTAGGTTGTTAGGCATATTTCCACCAGTCTCACGAGGTCTTCCATTTGCAGGGAGTCCTGGTGATGACCTCCTTCTGTGTTCATCAACTGGTCTCTCAGGACTGAGATGGCTAGGTCCTGGGGGATGGAGGTGAAGAGTGAGATAACATCAAATGATACCATCATCTCATCATCCTCCACCCTGAGGGTCTTAATCTTAGTCAGGAACTCCTCTGCAGACTTGACCGTCATGGGACTGTCATCCACAAGGTGGCAAATGAGGGTGCTAAGCCACTTCGCTAACCCCAAGGTGGGTGTGCCCCTGAATGACACGATGGGGTGGAGGGGAGTGCCTTCCTTGTGGATTTTTGGTAGCCCATAAAACCTAGTGAGGGCCGTATCACAAGGGTGCACCTTCTTCAGGGTATCATCTCCAATTTTTTCACTGCATTTAAAACTATCTAGTAGTTTGTTGATTTTATTCCTAAGCGTTACTGAGGGGTCTTTCCCAATCACTCTATAAGCTGTTCTATCATTCAGGAACTCTAGCGCCTTGGTTGTATATAGTGTCTTGTCCATGACAACAGTCACCCTCCCCTTATCCGCGGGGAGTATAACAATGGTGTCATCCCTTTTAAGTTGTCCTAGGGCTTCAATTTCTTCCCTGGATAGTGTGTGATAATGCCTACAGCTTGTGAGTAACCCGGTGACTTGTTGTCTTATGGAGCTCCTAGTATCCTCATCTGTCCCCATGCAACACATAGCGGGCTCTAGCGCAGCTATAAAATCTAAAGCATGTGTGTCCATAAGGTTATGGCCTGTATTACGCTGCAGCAGGGTGAGTTGCGAATGGGTTAATATCCTGGAAGAGAGGTTACAGACTAATCCATTCATGAAACTATTACACTTGGACTCACATAGGGCATCCATCTTATGTTGGAGGCGTGTCGCCGTTTCCTGGCTCATCCTCTTCGCCACCAACTTAATGTGATGGTCCAGTGCTTGAAAGTGGTGTTCCGACAGGGTTGAACTGCATTGTCTTTGATGTTCCTGAGCCCACTTTTTTAGGGCTCCTATGCACCTGTGTTGGTCATTAATAAGGGCTCATACTGTCCTACGTTGAAACTGATGGAGGGCTTGTTGGCATTCGTTGGAGTCGACCATGAGTTTCCTTCTTAGCGTCTTGGGTGGCAAGTTCTCCCGGATGCAGGTGTGCAAGAACGCCATTTTGTGGTAGCCCGCTGAAATGCGGTGTGTCAGCTTCTCCCATTTTCTGTCTGCGAGCAACACTGCTCTATCAGAAGGAAGGATATAATGGGAGTAAATACCATCGGAGGGGAGGAGGATACAAAGGTGTTAATAAATCCAAAAATTGATAATGAAGGGGCAGGTAGGAAGATTCGAAAGAACGACAGAAGAGAACGCAACACTAAAGAAACATCTGGAACCAAACTGACCAGCTGGGGCCGGTGACACGGTCTAGGAGCCGGGTGCAGATGTCAGCCAAATCTATTTAAATTATCCTTGTTAACTGGCTTTTTAGCCCTGACGATGTTGGGAGTTCCCAACGAAAGCTTGGCAGTTTTTAATAAAGTATTTTTCTTACTTAAATTCTCCTGGTGGTCGCACATTATTTATTTTATTTATAATTATGCCCGGGAGTCGTATTTTCACAGATATCATCAAATATATATATATATATATATATATATATATATATATATATATATATATATATATATATGTATGTATGTAGGTAGGTAGGTCTTTGGTTATTCGGGTTTTCTTTCGCGTCAAATTGGAAGTGTCTTGGCGACGTTTCGACGAAGTCTCATTCGTCATTTTCAGGCTGGTGTTTTTGGCTTCGTGCTTCTAGGAGCAATGTGTGATCGTAGCTGTTTCTTCCTTTTAACTGCCAGTAGGGGTATGAACTGATTGGATGAGAGCTTGGCTGTGTTCTGATTGGATGGAGGTGTGTTCCGATTGGTTAGGAGCTTGGCTGTGCTCTGATTGGATAGGGGGTTGGCTGTGCTCTGATTGGTTGGGGGAGTGTTCTGTTTGGGTGGGGGCTTTGTTGTGGTCAGGTTAGTCTGAGTTGCACGGGGATGTGAGGTGGTCCGCTGCATTGCTATTGTTTGGCTTTGCGTTCGTGGTCGTGCCTCATCTTCATGGTGGGTGTCAGTTTGCTTCATGTATGGATTGGAGGGGTTTAAAGTGGCTAATGATGCAGCTGTGGTCTGGCTTCTGGTTTGTGGTCATGCCTCATCATCGGTGTGGGTTTGGGTTTGCTTTTTGCGTGGACGTGTGGTGGTGACATCCTGTGTGGCTTTTGTGAGTGTGGGTCTGGTGTCATTCTTTGTATTAGGGACTCGTTTGTCAATAAGGGCGGGTTTCCAAATGGCTGGTAGGCGGGAGGTATCATCTTGTTTGTTCATGCTGTGTGGGCGTTTTTCTATCTCGATGGCTTCTCTGATTATTCTCTGATTATTCAGGGTTTGTTCTGTATAAATTATAAAATGCAACTCTTCTCTGTCCCTTATCACTATCATTTGGACCAGCAATGCTTCCTCTCTGACTAAAATTAACCAAGATGTCCTAAGAACACCAGGAAATTCATATATAGATAACTCTTGTGTAATGACAACTGGGACTGGCAACTTAAGCGAAGCGGTTGTTAAATGACACCATGACTATGCTTACGGTTTTACTTTAGCTTTTCTTTGCATTATAGACCTGCCAAACTTATAAATGCGAGGATTGGTCACAAAGCTACTTTTTATCATTGTTATAGCTGCAAACAGTCTCTAAACAAGGCAGTCACTATACAAGGACCACTGTAATATTGTTCATTTCATTCTGCACTCAATGATTCTGCAAGACCACTTGCCTCCAACTATACCTGCTTGGCCATGAGACCTGGCAGAAAGCTGTGTTTCACCCCCTTCTATGAAACAGTGCCACATAGTGGGATCCACAATAGTACTTTCTCTGTTACAACCATCTCCCTGTTTGTTGGCCTTGACCCTTTAGTGCCTCCATAAGGTGCTGGAAACCTGGCTTTGCCACCAGGCATTGGACCTGAACACAAGATGAGCTCATCCAGACGGAAAGACCCTGGACAAGATATACATTGGTTAGCCTGGGTGAATTCTGCTTCTTTTTAAATTATCTCATTGTTCTTTTTTTCTTGTTCTAGATGTTTACTGCATTATATTTTCTAGTTCCTTGTTTTTGTGCTCCTACCAACTGAAAGTCTTTAAGAATCCACTTTTTACAAAATTGGATGGCCCTGCCTACCTACACAAAAGCATACTAAATAGCAAGGTAAGCAGTTTTCTACTGCCATTATACCAAAGTCTGGGTTGACATGAACACAAGCTTCTGCCTTTCCAGGGTTTGAATAAAACTTTTAGACCACCCACCCACCCAACTGCTGCCAAATCTTACCTGTGAGGATGGAGACACTGTGGAAGCAACTATCCAGCTTGCCCAGAAGAATGGATAGGAAACTATCGGTTGCCAGCCCATTTACATCCCTCGTGCTCTGATCATAGACCACAACATCTTGGTGTTTCTCTGCCTCTACCTGCAAGTGTAGCATCAAAAGAAAATGTGTGAGAGGATGCAAATGGTATTCAAAACATGCAATTGGTACAGAGCTATCAAACACATATGAAAAATAATGACAATGTCTTCACTATCCCTCTCCAGACATATAACATTCCTATGATATCTCATTATCTAAAAACTAATCCAGAAGTTTAAAAATAGAATTATTTTAGTCTACTGATGACTCCCATAAAGGGGAACAGGAGGGAAAGAAAGACAAATTTTACTTCCCATCACAAAGGCAAAATGAAACTGGATGCCATGAAAAACAATAGCATTGTTTGTTTATTGTTGTCTTCTTACTGCAGGGAAAGAGTTATTTGTAGATTGTTTAAAAACAGAGGTACTAACTTAACTGGATTGATCTGGATATTATGTACCTTTGGCAAGGGCAGGGAGAATTGGTTACTTTTAGGTAGCAAATGTCTTGGGCCAGACCCATTACAGTAAGTGGTTAAACCATAATTATTCTAGCACTTATATAGAGCCTTGAATGCAAATTGAAATCTATGTAAAGAATCTATCTGTTGTGTTCCTTTATGGATGGATTCTTCATCCAGATTGTTAAATAGCTTTTTTCAGAGCAAAAGTAGAAACAAACCTTGCACATTCTAGATTGCAGGTCATTCCCCATATTAGAATATGCTATTCTTGGCCATCTGGCAGGGCATCAGTTACTTTCTCAATTATGTTACAGTATAGGATCTTTTTGGTATGCTATATACTCAAAATGCACAGCCCCCCCCCCAGGGGACTGGGAAAAAGAGGAGGAGGTTAGCAGATTTCTTTAAAACAAAATAACTGAGCCAGCCTCATGTGTGTACCTTGCACTGATGTCTACAGAAGAGCAGATAGGGGATTCACCAGCACTAAAATTGCACAAATATACCAGTGTTCTCCAAGTAGAGATAAAAGGGGATTCTTCATAATGTCAAGGCGCATGGCATATCCAGGCATTGAGATGAATAGTGTAGGCAGAGAGCAAGGCACAGGCAAAGGTTGTTGTGCCTAATGAAAGGTTAATACATTAAAGGCTGATGAAATCCTCATGGTGCCATGGCTCAGTGCATTCACTGAATAGGCTGATCAGCGGCATACGCCGTCCTTCCGAGCTGGTGGCCTTCTGCCCTCTGGAGCAAAGCACATCTAATATTCTGCTATCAGAGAAAGGCAGATGTGATGAAGCAAGGTTACAGAAAAGCAGAGCGAGAAAGAAGCCAACTGCAAATAAAGGAAGGGGAAAAAACCCAAGTAGCTCTTTCCAAATTGTTCCACGACTACAACAATACTGGGAGGAATTTAAAATCAAGATAATTTTCATCACGCAGAAATTTTCAGTGTGTTTATATCCAAAAAAGCGGTAGAGTCAACAATGATTGAATTATGCCCTCAACAATTTTGACTTGAAATTATTTGGAACCTTTATTTATAGTTGCACCCTGGAAACTCTAATGGGGCAGTTCTCTTTAATGATTCTAAAAGTGTACAAATCACCACCTGGGTTCTGATCTCACATGCTTCATCACCCCATCAAAAGAGGAAGGGACACCACCTGATTGCAGTGTCCACTCAGAGATTCGTACAAAAGTTAGGGAAGACAATCAGAAATATCATTTTAGCCATTTTCCTTACGCTGAAGTAGTTTTCACCTTACCCCTTTCCTGATACAGGACAACTGATCCTAGTGGCATTCTCTGCTTCCATGCAAAAGATTCTCAGGCTATAAGAATAGTTTACGCTACAATCTCATTTACCCAATGGCCATGGAGTTGCTAGGTTGCAAGCAGAAGAAAACATGTTTACCTTCAAAAACTCCAACAAGCAGAACTAGAGACAGCTGCAACTTCTTCCCTTCATCCTTCCCCCCCACCCTTTGCATCTGTACTACTAGTACAGTACCCAATATATAGAAATAGGGGGTAGGGGGGGAAGAATGGGGTATTTAGTGTGGAATTCACAATTAACATGAGTATGAATAGGATATATGATGGATTAATTATAGTCAGAGTTACAGCCTGCTGACTTACCGCTTCAGGTTTGAGGGGAAAGCTTATTCCATTAGTGTGCAGGTGCTGGCAACACATTCCTCTTAAGACACAGACATGTATTTCAGACAGTAAATCAGATGTGCCATCTTTACAGGATTAAATAGGCTAGTCTGCATAATGAAGCTTGATGAATGTATTGAAAATGAGCAGCAAAATAAAGCTGATATGGATATGTACTGTTTACAATGGCAAGTTCCTCTAATCAAGCTACTCACTAGAAAAGGAAATTTAGCACATAGCTACAGCATCCTAAATTGTGAAATAAATTAGCAATGGCACTAGGAGCATCTTCACAGAGTAAGAATATGATAATCCATTTGGAATAATTCTACTGGAACATATGTGACACAACCATTTCCAAGATGGCCTTTGAGTGCATTTTATTAACCAAGGAGTGGGGAACAGTATATTTTTCTACAATTCCAAGCGACAGACATTTGAAAAGGTCAATCAAGCCTGAACAAATTCAACAACTAAGATACCTTTCTCTGAACACTGAAGAACAGGCAAAACCCACTTGTAAATCCACACAAAAAAACAGATTCTATTTTATTGTTTTGAGTTCTCTGGACCTGTTTAAGTATGTGGAGTTGCCTGGCAACTTTCAACATATCCCTTCCGATTGATTCACGTCTGCCTGACAGCATGATACTTCAGGGATGCTAATTTAACTCTCAATTATGACTGTCAAAACAAACCACTATAAGAGAACTGCAGAAATAATTATCAGGCATGTCAGATTTCACTAAATATTTCCAGGGGAAAGAGGTGTTTGCTTTTACTTATAATGTCCAAAACTCAAGAGGAATCAAATCAAGAAGCAGAAGGATCAGAGGGCATTGTGACTGAAAGGAAGAGAACTGCTTCTAAAATAAAGAGGTTTTCTAGCTGTTTTGTCCTTGCCAAACAAGTATAATCATGCATGTATATACATAAAATCTTGCTATCAGTGCTGAAGGGATAAAATCAGAGTCCAAAAGAAGCAGAAAGCATTACTCTTATTTTATTTATTTCATTTATTTGATATGGCATTAGCACTCTCAGTCCGAAGTTACAGAACAAATACCCTTGTTGGAAAATGTTAACAACATGCAATATTGTCAATATCTGTAAATATCTCAGTCATCCAGGTCATAGTTGTCTCAAAGGCGTGTTTTTCTTCAAAAGGCAACTGGACTATTTTTTCCTTGAAGAAGAAAAGAACACTTTGCTTCTCATCCAAAATTTTCATTTTGAACTTGAGAATCTGAGCTTTTCATCACATTTAGGAACATGATTGTTTCATGTCTGTTTCCTGACATGCATGTTAAAACCAGTGGGAATCCTATGCAACAGAGCAGGAGTTACTATAGCATTTCAAGAGGGATTTATGCAAATGATCATTTGTCCGTTGTTTGTTGAAAAGTACACATTTGGCCATGTAACATTATAAAAACACACTCAAAGGGGCAAGAAATAATCCCTCAGTTCCTAGATTCCAGTATGATTGAGAAAAAAGGGTCACTGATGCACAGCCTACCCTGCTACTGCTACGGGTAAAAGAACAAGCTAACACGACAGGACTGCAAGCTATGGAGGAAATAGCAGCCTCGGAAGCAGAATTATCCTACAGTAGGAATTAAAGTTGCTTGCACATGGCAAGAGCTTTGTTTGGGGCATTATTGAAGAGTTGCCGAGCAACGGCAGATACATGCCACACATTATATCTTATTAAAGTTATAGGGTTTCAGGCAGCAGAAATGCCAGACAAGCTCTGGCAATGCAGAAGCAGCCTACACTGAATAAACACAGCCCTGCCTGGACAGAGTTCAGAAGGGCAAAGGATAGCAAGAGAGGGCGGGGATGAATTAAATATGTTTCAGCTCAATAGGATCTCTTTTCCTTTAACCAGAAATGGGAGAAATCACACCTGTTGTGAACACTTGATTAGGAGTTAACAGTAACCTAATGCACAAGATTTTGAGGTATTTATACACTTTCTTCCTATTATGCTTCTACTACTTCAAATCTTCCTTCGCTGGAGAATTCTTGGCAGTTCCTTCTTCTCACTGCAAGTCTCTTGATGCCTCTAGTTTTGCCATCCACCCCCTGCCTATCCTTCAATAGCTCCTCCCCATTTAAAGTACCTGACCCATACCTTTTCCCGAAAGGAAGAGGAATGTTTAACTGCCTCATTACTGCCTACAATTTCTGTGCTGCTGTTCTAGGACCACGGCTAATACAGGTAGTCCTCAACTTATGACAGCTCTCCCTGAGGTACTAAGGACTCAGTTCTGAAGATCCAATGTCCCCTGCAGTCAAGTGATTGCATGTCAGGTCCCGAATTTATGGCTGTTTGCAGTGTTCCATGGTCAGGTGACTGTGTTTCATCACGGGTTTGCCAAAACCTGGTATTTATTTCCACTGTTCAACAAAACCAGCCCCAAGAGAACCTCCAGTTTGCTTAATGATCACGGTGTCCTCTTAATAACCGTGGGCGTCGCTTTATGATGACAGAATTTGCTTAACGACCACTGCAGAAAAAGTCATAAAATTGGGTCGGTCATTGAGGGAAGTTAGCCCAGAGAAGGAAACATTAAAAGGGCAGAAAAATATATTTTTCCTCAAAAGGAAAACTAAACCTAAACTAAACTAAACCTGGCCCCAAATCTATCTCTCTGTCCCAAGCAAGAGCTAGCCCATACAAATGCAGATGTAAAACCATCAGAAAGTTGAAGCCAGAGCACTCAAGAAGACAAAGAGAAAATCTGCATGCTCCACTCAAACTCTAGGAGTCATTAGCCCCATCACCTGGGAAGCAGGATATGATAATAGGATTAAACCACAGATATCAAGGCCTAGAAAAACACTCAGAAATAGCCTCAAGGTTCATGCCAAACAAGGCTAGAGGGGGTATAAAAACCTATTGCCCATGTGCTCAACTCCTCTT